AATTTTTTATTTTTGAGACGGCGTCTTGCTCTGTTGCCAGGCTGGAGTGCAGTGGCACGATGTCAGCTCACTGCAACGTCTGCCTCCCAGGTTCAAATGATTCTCCTGCCTCAGCCTCCCTCCCGAGTAGCTGGGACTACAGGCGCTGGCCGCCACGCCCAGCTAATTTTTTTGTATTTTTAGTGGACACGGGGTTTCATCAAGTTGGCCAGGATGGTCTCAATCGCTGGACCTCATGGCCTGCCTCGGCTGCCCAAAGTGCTGGTTCAGGGGTGAGCCACTGTGCCCGGCCTCATATATTTATTTTAAAAAGAGACTCGGGCAGGGCGACCAACATGGTGAAACCCCGTCTCTACTAAAAATACAAAAATTAACAGGGCATGGTAGCGCGCGCCTGTAATCCCAGCTACTCGGGAGGCTGAGGCAGGAAAATCGCTTGAACCCGGGAGGCGGAGGTTGCAGTGAGCCGGGATCACGCCATCGCACTCCAGCCTGAGCGACAGAGCGAGACTCCGTCTCATAATAAATAAGTAAAAGAGAGACTCAAGGTATTCATTGCCTCCCTTGGAGACTCTACGACGCCCCCATGCCAATCAACAAACATTTGAATACCTACTACATACGGGGATACAACTAAGAACGCTTCACATAGAGCCTCCCCCAAACAAAACTTTACCTAAAAGGGTTGGGAGCATGTCCTACTCTAGATTCATTCCGAATTGGATCCTGCACACAACGCTAGGAGGTCATGTGTTCACTAAGCAGCCCTGTGCCAGGCTCAAAAACACGGCCCAGGCGCAGACACTCAGATCAGCACCCTCCCAGACCTGCAGGCGCTGTCTGCATACGCCCGACCGAGTCCACGTGCAAATGCACACGTACGAGCATTTGCAGGCGCCCCCGGAAACACGCACACGTCCGGGGGGGCCACACACCCGGAGCCGCCTTCGATCCAAGCCTCACCGGCCTGGCTCCCCGTTCTCCCCTCGCCCGCCCTGGTCCCGTCCGGACACACCCTCGTAGCCCCAAGCATCACTCGCGGGACTCACTTTCAGGTGTCTCCACGCCATGCTTTTTCTGTCATTAAGTCCGCCCCTGTCTCCCTTCCATTGGAGGATATGGCGGCGGCCCCTCCTATTTCCAGCCCTTACGCGCCAGTCCACCAATCCCCAAGCAGTAGGGTTGAGCGGGCGCCTCCGCAGCTGGGAGGGCCAGGCTCAGGTTGGGTGCGCTTGCGCAGTAGCGGCGGTGACGCCTCATACCCGCCCTCCTCCTGGTCTTCCGGCGTCGTCGCCGGCGGTTGGCGGAGGAGCTGCCGCGCGGGGTTTGTCGCTAGTCCCGTAGTCCCACATTCTCGAATCCGAAAGTCCGCGAGGAGTCGGGATTCTGTCAGGAAGACAGGTGTTGAGGTCGTGCTACACACCGCTGTCTTTCTGCCGGGGTCGCGTTGCGATTTTCGTGGGCCCCCTGCTGGTTATTTTAGCGTGGACATAAGAACACTGTGTTTCACACCAGAAGTATATCTGCAGTTTTTATTGCTTTAAAAAATCAGTTGGCCGGGCATGGTGCCTGTAATCCAAGCACTCTGGAGACCAAGGCGGGAGGATCACCTGAGGTCGGGAGTTCAAGACCAGCCTGACCAATATGATGAAACCCCGTCTTTATTTAAAAATAAATAAATAATAAATTTTACTGCTGTGTTGATATAAAATGAATGTTAATATATAAATGTTTTTCTACGTAAAAGTTTATTTTTCTTCAGGTTTTTAAAGAAATTAAAACATTTTCTTGAGGTCGGGCGCAGTGGCTCATGCCTGTAATCCCAGCACTTTGGGAGGTCCAGGTGGGCAGATCACTTGGGGTCAAGAATTCAAGACCAGCCTCTAAGATGGAGCAACCCCTCCCCCCGTCTCTACTTAAAAAAAGAAAGAAAGAAAGAAAGCTAAAATAACCGGGCGTAGTAGCGGGCACCACTTGGGAGGCTGAGGCAGGAGAATCGCTTGAACCCCGTAGGCGTTCATCAGGTTTTATTTTAAAATGCTTGAAACATATGCGTGGATGTGTGGTGTGTTTATTTGTGTATGTATATGAAGGTGTTTCGAAGTTGAGGCTCTGTGAACTTTGAAAGCAAAAAAGCATCCTGTATCCAGATGAGTCCATTGCCTCACACTCTTGTAAGGATGGACTACCCTGCTCAGAAACCTTCCAAATAAACTGCAAACCTTTTATCCTGACACTTGAAACGCTCCCATTTTCTGGTTACGGTTCCCACGACAGTCCCACCAAGTACCCGCTACGTGCACACACACACACACACACAAGTATTTCTTTCTTTTTATCAATACCTTCCACTTTCCCACCTCTGTGTATGTATTCACATCGACTTCTCTGCCAAGATGTCCGTTTCATCTGTCTAAATATTGCCATCTTTATATGTTTGTTTCAAAGGCCGAAAGTAATTTCTTCCTTATCTGAACCTTCACAGCAGCACTTAAGCTGTCCCTGTAGGCTGGCACTTTTCATTGTCTTTGTTAGTTATAATTATTATGCCTTTTCTTCCCTTACTGGACTTTTTGAAAGTGATGATTGTGCTGTATTTATCTTTCATTTGATTACTGCAGTGTTTTTGTTTTTTTTGTTTCTTGGGGGGGTTTTCTGAGACACAGAGTCTCACTCTGTTGCCCAGGCTAGAGTGCAGTGGCACAATCTCAGCTCACTGCAACCTCCACCAACTGGTTCAAGTGATCCTCCTGCCCCACCCTCCCAAATAGCTGGGATTACAGGCACACACCACCATGCCTGGCTAATTTTTGTATTTTTAGTAGAGACAGGGTTTCACCATGTTGGCCAAGCTAGTCTTGAGCTCCTCAACTCAAGTGATCCACCCACCTCAGCTTCCCAAAGTGCTAGGAGTAGAGGCCTGAGCCACCACACCCAGACGATTACTGCAGTGTTTTTCAAACAGGATGTAGTCTTGAAGTCTGTGTTTTAGAGAATCTCATAATTTTGGTGGCCACCTGTGTACTGATTTTTAGAGTAATTTAAGCACCATTTCGACTATCTGAATAACCATCTTAACCCTGAAACCTGTCAACTGGTCCAGTGCCCACATTTGTTTGCGTTTATCATCACTTTTTGGCACCAAGACAGAACCAGCTGTAATACATGTGATGGGTACGCAACAGGTGGAGACCAAATGACCTGCTGTGTTTGAACAAAGGTTTTTTTCTTTTAATGAGTCAAATAAAGAAATGAGGTAACAGAATTGAATCTTCCCCATATCATAAAATAGTATGCATGCCAGATTCAAAGGAACCTGTGCAGTCACAGGCCAGAGAACCCTGTTTATCTGCTATTTGGCTTGGCAAAATTTGGATCTCATTCATTTTCGGTTTTGTTTGTATTTAATTTGTATTCATTTTTCCATTTAATATTGTTTGGTTTTTATGACTGTGTAAGAGTTTTAAGATAAAGTTAATGGACCTGGGATGGTGGCTCACACCTGGACTTTGGGAGACCAAGGTGAGAGGGTCATTTGAGTCCAGGAGTTCAAGACTGCACTGAGCTATGATCATGCTACTGCCCTCCAGCCTGGGCAGCATAGCGAGACTCCATTTCAAAAAACATAGAGTTTATGCTTAGTTCTGTTTGCATGTACTTAAAAGACAGAATACAGTAATTTAAATCAGTCCTGGGGGTAGCAGAGATGTAGGATGAACAAGTCGAGAGATTTAATGTACAACCTGAGGACTACAGGTAACAAAACTGGATAGTAGACAGGATTCATGCTAGATGAGATTTTAGCTGCTTTTGCCACAAAACCAAAAAAAAAGTGGGTAATTAATGTTAGATGATGGATATGTATGTTTTACTATAATAGCCTTTTTAATATCTATATACATCCCATAACATCATGCTATGTACCTTAAATATTCACAATAAAACTCCTTTTTAAAAAAATTAGGCCAGGTGCAGTGGCTCACACCTGTAATCCCAAAACTTTGGGAGGCCAAGGTGGGTGGATCACCTAAGGTTAAGAGTTTGAGACTAGTCTGGCAAACATGGCAAAACTCCATCTCTACTAAAAATACAAAATTAGCCAGGTGTGGTGGCACATGCCTGTAATTCCAGCTACTCGGGAGGCTGAGGCAGGAGAATCGCTTGAACCCAGGAGGTGGAGGTTACAATGAGACGAGATCACACCATTGCACTCCAGCCTGGGCAGCAAGAGCAAAACTACATCTCAAAGAAAAAAAAATCAGTCCCAGGGGTCTGCAAGAATGACTTTCTTTAAAAAAAAAAAAAACATGGCTGAGTCTGGTGACTCACACTTGTAATCCCAGGACTTTGAGAGGCCAAGGCAAACAGATGGCTTGAGCCCAGCAATTTGAGACCACCCCAAGAAACACAGCAAGACTCTACCTACCCACCTACACACACACACACACACACACACACACACACACACACAATTAGCTGGGCATGGTGGTGCGCTCTTGCAGTCCCAGCTGCTTGGGAGGCTGAGGTGGGAGGATTGATCACTTGAGCCTCGGAGGTCGAGGCTGCAGTGAGCTGATATCAAGCCACTGCACTCCAGCCTGGGCAACAGAATAAGACCCTGTCTCAAAAAAGAAAAAGCTACACTTATTAATTTTTAGCAACACTGACTTAGATGTTAGATATTCATCATCCTCTGCCCCGTGCAGCTTAGACTCAGCTTTATAATCCATCTGTATTTGCTATACGCATATATGGTAGGTAGACACAGATGGTGGGGCCCAAGATACAAAGGCTCATTGCTTTATTGATCTCTGATATTTGTTTTCAGCTTGTAGGATAGGAACTGCACCTGGGTCCTCAAAATAAAACCTTTTGTATCCTTGGTAAATTGTTCCCAATTCATAAAAGAATAATACTAAGACAAGGCCGCTAATATATGTATTTAAAGGACCAGGCAGCTGCTGAACCTACACACTTTTTCTTGCTACAATTCAGAGAAAATGTTCTTCAAAGGAAGAAGCTGGCTTTGGTTATATGTGAGAACAAGTATCATTCTAGGAAGTGAGCTAAACAGCCCAGAGCGACGTGGGCAAAATAATTGTTATCAGCTTAACAGCTTTCACTGCAGCTTTGAGGAAGCAGAGCACTACTGCCATGCCCAGGGTGGATTCCTAGCTCATATTAGGAACCAGGAAGTTCCAGATCACATCTGGGACTTTCTGGAAGAAGGAAAAAAGTGGTGGATTGGGCAAAATGTAATGCCACTGAAAAAACATCAAGATGAAAAATATCCAGGTAAGACTGTGGGGTTTAGTGCTGATGAAGGAAACTTCCTTATATTTTATTCCGGGGCAGAAGAAAAGGAAAATCTTAATCTTTCTGCTTTTGTATACAGAAAAACCAGTCACTTTACTTCATTACCATCTTTCCTCTGAAATGTTTCCATTTTGTGCTACAGCCTTTGATTCGTCTCTGTAGCAAAAGTGATGCGATCTTTCCTAGAACTCGTCTAAAGTTAACTTACCTAACCTTTCACTAGAAGAATTGTGCTAGATTTGAGAGACAGCAACCTTTGACGGTCATTTGTTTCCCTAATAAACATCTCTTCATTATTCTGAGCTCCAAATTTCCTAACACAGAAACAAAGAGGAAATTATTGTTCTTCTTACAAAGCGTTTTCAAAGTTATGCACCATCATCTTGAAGTTTTAGAGACACATCCAAGGCATTATTATATCATTCTCGTCATCTTCATTAATGCATAGGTAAAGTAATACTAAGCCTTGTGATAAGGAATACATATGAAAAAATAAACTATAATGTATGGGAGGAAATTCTAAATTACTGTCTATTGGAAGCCAGCCAAATTTGGCTTTCATATTTACTTTTAAAAAATGTCTGGTGGCTGGGCACAGTGGCTCATGCCTGTAATCCCAGCACTTTGGGAGGCGAAGGTGGGCGGATCACCTGATGTCAGGAGTTTGAGACCAGCCTGGCCAACATAGCAAAACCCCATCTTTACTAAAAATACAAAAATTAGCCAGGCACGGTGGTGGGCACCTGTAATTCCAGCTACTTTGGAGGCTGAGGCAAAAGAATTGCTTGAACCCGGGAGGCGGAGGTTGCAGTGAGCTGAGATCATGCCACTGCACTCCAGCCTGGGCAACAATGTGAGACTCTGTCTCAAAAACAATAATAAAAAATAAATTAAAAGCCTGGCTTTCGAGTATGAGGCTTATCTGGGTCTGATCTCCCCTCAGCAGACATTGTTGCCCACGGGGACACAAAGCCCCCCAGCTGCACCTACCTGTCCAGAAACTTCAGTCGGATCTCATTCAAAGGGGACAAGTGCTCACTGGGACACTATTTCATTTGCCAGACTGGTAAGTGATAAAGCTACATACTGCCAAATACCCAAATTTTGAAAACTGACTCTAAATAAGGAGTACCTGTGAGAGTATTGGTTAAATAATCTGTCAGTGATAGATCATGGGATGATACAGGCCTTTTGATTTTCATAAAACTGATCAGCATAAGAAACTGTTATCTGGAGTGACTTCCAATGGGAGTTGGAAGAGTTGTGCCTCGATGTTACCTCATGTTTTGACTTGGGTAGAGTGTCGGAGAAACTGTATTGCTGACATCATTTTCCACATGCACACTCGTAATTCAGTCAGCATTGCGGCTTCAGAGGGAAGGATGGGAAAGAGGAGAAGAAGAGAATATGGCAGAGGAAGATGAGAAGACTAAGGGTAAGGATGCCGTTATCCGAGGTTCACTTCCACAGAAGTAGATCAGGATTAAGCTATGTATGTATGCATTTGTGTGTGTGTAGTTGTTGTTGCTGTTATTTATTTATTTATTTCCAAGCTGGAGTTTCCCTCTTGTTGCCCAGGATGGAGTGCAACGGTGTGATCTTGGCTCACCACAACCTCTGTCTCCTGGGTTCAAGTGATTCTCCTGCCTTGGCCTCCCAATTAGCTAGGATTACAGGCATCTGCCACCATGCCCAGCTAATTTTGTATTTTTAATAGAGGTGGGGTTTATCCATGTTAGTCAGGCTGGTCTCGAACTCCTAACCTCAAGTAATCTGCCTGCCTTGGCCTCCCAAAGTGCTGGGATTATAGGCGTGAGCCACTGCTCCTGGCTTATTTATTTATATATTTTTGTGGAGATGGGGTCTTGTTATGTTACCTAGGCTGATCTTGAACTCTTGGCTTCAAGCAATCCTCCCACCTCGGCCTCCCAAAGTGCTGGAATTACAGGAATGAGCCGCCGTGCCCGGCCTTTGTGATTTCTTAAGAAAAAAACAACTACTATACAACCCAGAAATTGCTTGGCATTTGTTGCAGAAAGAGAAAACCTGTGCTCATGTAAAAATATGTATATGAATGCTTATAGCAGCTTTATTCACAATAGAGCAAAATTAGAAACAATTCAGACATCTGTCAACAGGTGAATGGTTAAACCACTGTGGTCCAGCCATGACAGTCATACCGTTTCTACTCTCCCGGGTGACTTTCCTACTTCCCGCTCTCTACTCAATCTCCGGTACCTGGGGACCTCCCTCCATCGCATTCTCAGGTCAGGTGATCACCTTGCTTTCTAACTCAGGGAGAAAATCAAAGCAATGTAGAGTCCTTCCACGACTCCAACCATCAAACCTAGCCACCTACCAGCACCTGTACCTGCAGGTAGACAATGCTTTCTCTCATGCTCTACACATCTTCATACTCCTACCCAAAGTGAATCCCTCTAGTTGTAATTCAGTAATAAAAAGAAACAAACTATTGATACAGAAATTTCGAGAGAATTCTGCTGAGTGAACAAAGCCAATCTCAAAATATGATATACTCTATGGTGCCATTTATTGAGCATTCTTGAAATGACAACATGATAGGAATGGAGAACAGATTAGTGGTTGTCAGGGTCTAAGAAGGGCATGGGGGCAAGATGGAAGTAGGCATGGCTATAAAAGGGTAATGTGAGGGATTCTTGTAGCAACTGAAGAAAATTTTTGACATGAGTGTATCAGTGTCAATATCCTGTTGTTGCTCTTGCAAGATGTGTTTCCCTTGGAAACTGACTACAGGCAGCTCTCTGCATTTTCTCTTTCATCTGCATGTGAATACATAATTATCTCAAAATAATAAATTACATTAAAAAAAAAAGAAAGAAAATTTGGCCCGGCGCAGTGGCTCATGCCTATAATCTCAGCACTTTGGGAGGCTCCAGCAGGAGGATCACAAGGTCAGGAGATCAAGACCATCCTGGCTAACACGGTAAAACCCCATCTCTACTAAAAATACAAAAAATTAGCCGGGCATGGTGGCACGCACCTGTAGTCCCAGCTAGTCGGGAGGGAGGCTGAGGCAGGAGAATCATTTGAACCTGGAAGGCAGAGGTTGCAGTTAGCCAAGATCACGCCACTGCACTCCAGCCTGGGCGACAAAGCGAGACTCAGACTCAAAAAGAAAGAAAGAAAAATGCCTTGATGTAAGTATATATATGACTTATACAGTATTCTTGCCAAAAAAAATAGAGTAATGCAAATTAAAAATAAACGGAGATATCCTTTTCCACCTATCAGATTGGCATAAATTCACAAACTTAACAACATATGCTGTTGGCAAGGCTGTAAGAAAATATGTACTCTCATAAGTTGCTAGTGAGAATGCAGGAAGATATATTCTCCATATATCTTGCAAATAAAGGGGAATTCAGCAATATCTAGCAAAATAACATATACATCTACCCTTGACCCCACCTCCACTGCTAGGACTCTATCCCAAAGCCAAAACAGCAAAAATACCAAAAGATGAATGCGTAAGGCTATTCATGTTGCTCTCTGCAACACCAAAAAGTAGGAATAATCCCATCAAAAGGGAACTGGTGCTAAAAAGCAAATAACAACGATCTCCATGTGCTGCAGTGGGGTTAGCTCTGTGATTTTTTTTAGTGGAAAATAAAGGTACAGAACATATATATTTACTTATATACATATGCGTATGTATAAATGTAATAGAAGGAGAAACAAAAACTAATGAAAATGGTTATGTCTGGGGGAGAGAGAAAATGGGGCAGAAAGGATGAAGATGGAAATAAGACCTTTCAAAATGTACCAGTTTGATAGTTTTGGCATGGAGACTCTTTAAATGTTTTCCCTAATTATTGCTATGGTTTGAACGTGCCCCTTCCAAAACAGGTGTTGCCAGTGTGATTGTATTAAGAGGTGGGGCTTTAACACGTGGGCTGGACCACAGGGCTCCTCCCCTGTGAGTGGGATGTGGCGCCCTTATAAAAGGGCTCGGCAGAGGGAGGGGTTCTCTTGCCCTTCCTCCTTACGAGGGTGCAGGTCTCGTCCGACTCGAAATGGCAGTGCTTTGATCTTGGGCTTGCAGCCTCCAGAACTGTAAGAATTAGATTTCTGTTCTTTATAAATTACCCTGTTTGTGGTATTCTGTTATAGCAGCACAAAACAGTCTAAAGCAATTATAAAACAAATTTATGTCAACATTTTTTTTTTTTTTTTTTTTTTGAGATAGAGTTTCACTCCTGTTGTTCAGGGTGGAGTGCAATGGCGCCGTCTCAGCTCACTGCAACCTCCGCCTCCCAGGTTCAAGTGATTCTCCTGCCTCAGCTTCCCGAGTAGCTGGGATTACAGGCATTCGCCACTATGCCTGGCTAATTTTTATGTTTTCAGTAGAGACGGAGGTTTCACCATGTTGGCCAGGCTGGTCTTGAACTCCTGACCTCAGGTGATACACTCTCTTCAGCCTACCAAAGTGTTGGGATTACTGGTGTGAGCCACCATGCCCAGTCTGTCAACATTTAAAAAAAAACAATCTCTAAAAGTAGGGAAATAGAGGGGAGGAGAAGAATTGGAGCTAACAAGTTAGGACAATTTTTAAGGTGATTTTGCTCAAGAGCAGAAAACAACTGGGGCAGTAGTTCATGAGGCCAATATAAGTTGCTGGGTTTTTTTTGAGACAGGAAAAATAGCATTCAGGAATGATGCACTGGATTTGAGCTGCTGAACAACTAGAGGGATTCACTTGGGTAGGAGTATGAAGATGTGTAGAGCATGAGAGAAGGCATTGTCTCTCTACAGGTACAGGTGCTAGTAGGTGGCTAAATTTGACGGCCGGAGTCGTGGAAGGACTCTACATTGCCTTTTCTCCTTGAGTTAGAAAGCAAGTTGATCACCTGACCTGGAAATGAGACGGAGGGAGGCTCCCAGGTGTTGGTGGTTGAGTAGAGGGAAGTGGAGTTCACCTGGGAGAGTGGAAACAGACTGCCAGGCAGCGTGAAGGCGGGCCACTCAAGCTTCGTGACCACGAATTTAAGCTGAGCCACAGTCAAGGGGTTATATGATTTTTCTCTCGCCATGTCCAACAGCATGTGTGAAAAACTCCTTTTCATGTGTGCAAGGAGGCATGTCCAAGAATGTTATTGCTGGCCGGGCGTGGTGGCTCACACCTGTAATCCCAACACTTTGGGAGGCCAAGGCAGGCAGATCACTTGAGGTCAGGTTGTCGAGACCAGCCTGGACATGGTGAAACCTTATCTCTACTAAAAATATAAAACTTAGCTGGGTGTAGTGGCATGCACCTATCCCAGCTACTCAGGAGGCTGAGGCAGGAGTATTGCTTGAACTCGGGAGGTTCAAGCAATAAAGTTGCATTGCCTGCAGTGAACCAAGATCACACCATTCCACGCCAGCTTAGGCAACAGAGCAAAAACTCTCTCAAAAAAGAATGTTATCATCCACCTTCAGAAGTCTTTTATCTCTACCAATGAGAGTTATAGAACACAAAGGAGAATATTACGCTTAGTAGGATATTTCCCATTTATGCTGGAGGTTGCAAACTTTTTTGGTGAAAAATCAGACCCTGGCGATGACCTTAAGCAGTAGGATACAATTCCAAGCTTAACATTCCAATAATGGAACACTAGGCATATAGGGTTAATGAACTTCTCAGTGTTGATCCAATTAGTGGACTTAATTTGAAATGTAGAACACCATAATTTGATGTGACCAGGCTGCAGAGCAAAAGGGCTACTGCAGAATTCTTATTGTCTTTAAAAAAACTGGATAGTAATTTTTGTGTTTTCCTGATTATCACATATGAGCATGTAATGATGATTTTATAGACTTGTAGCTATAGCCTATAAATTAATCGTGTATTGGTCTCCAAGTAGATGCCTTTTTGGACGGAGATGCCCGTTATGAAAGAAACGGAAATAATTCTCATTTGCCATGGAGACCCGAGAAGACAAAAAGAGAAGCTGAAATACCAAGAAACAAAATGCCCCCAGGTAATATGTTACTATCTCAAGTAACCTTAAAAATCAGTGAAATCAATTGCTGCTCAAAGGCTGCACAAGACTGAATTAATGCTGAAATGTGGTATCATATCACGTGCCCAATATTCGTTGTGTTCTGTTCTGTCTGATGTTAATATGACAGTCTTTGCCTTCGTTTTATATTTGTGTTTGCTTGCTATACCCTTGGCCATCTTCTTTTCAGATATGCCCAAGTACAAGGCAAGGTTTTATTCCCACAGAATTTTTCATCAACAAAGAGAAAGTCATTTTGAAGTTCTTGCAAAGTCTTTGAAATCATGGTGTTATCTCTTGTTTATTTTTTAATTTTGAAAAACAAGTACTGTTTGGGAAGGATGCATTAGCCTGAAGTGACGTCAGTATTGGTGGTTGTGATTATAGAGATCACCTGAAAGAAAGGAGTACAGCAGAGATCAATTAAAAGCGGATCTTGTGATTATTCGTCAGGGTATGACCTCACTGCTGCAAGTGTTAGGTGTCCTGATCAACAAACCGTTTAAATATCCCTTGAAAGAACAATTTAGAAAGTGTTATTTAGAGACATGAATATGTATTTAAAGAACAAATGGGAAAAGCAGCTTTTCTCAAGGCTCTGTAAATGGGGACTTGTGAGTTGCAGGAAAATGTTTAGTGATCGCATTAGGTGGAAATAAAGAGGACATATTTTGGAGAACTGTTAAATCCAGAAGTTCTAATGATAAAGCAGTGATGTTAAAGATGCATTTGAAATGTTTGAATTAAACTGTGCCGTGAAATGGGAGTTTCATGAGAGTAATCCTTCTGATATTACTTCACATGACATGTGACTTTAAATATGTAGTAGTAGAACTAAATTACTGAATTAAATAGGCATTTGACTTTTTCACCTACATTCTTTAAGTTTATATTGTCAAGCCTGCCCCAGAAATACTTTTTAAAAACTCCTCATTGGGAAAAATGTAGATCACGTTATTGTGAGGCAATTTACATAACAGGGAATATGCCTAATATTTATGTATGAGGGTCCTTTAAAATGTCTGCAGGTTGGATCTCCCCTAAGCAGACTTTGGCTCACACCTGTAATCCCAGGTGTGACTTGGTTGTAATGTAGTGACTCAGACCTATAATCCCAGCACTTGGGGAGGCTAAGATGGAAGGATTGCTTGAGGCCAGGAGTACAAGTCCAACCTGGGCAACCTACTGGACTCTGTATTTAAAAAAAAAAAAAAAAAAACTTACAAAAATAAAAATTTAAAAAATTAGGTAGGTGTGGTGGTGCATGCCTCTGTAGTCTCAGCTACTCAGGAGGCTGAGGCAGGAGAATAGTTTACACCCAGGAGTTACAGGCTATAATAAGCCATGATCAAGCCACCGTGTTCCAGACAGCCTTTTTTTCCCTTACCAGATTGCTTGTAAAATTTTTTTGTAATTCAGAAATATTCTTAGTGTGTATCTAGGTTATTTTTCACTAATTGTGCCTAGAACCTGCTGCTACATATACACATCTTTCTTGAATCAAAAATATCCTATGTTTGTATCACTTCTATTTCATTTATTTTGGCTTTGTCCTTAAAAAATACCCTCCCCAATACGGTTTTGTATTTATCACCCTTTCTGTTAGAGGAGAGCACCTTACATTCATTTATCTTCCATACCAGGGACTAATTTTTCCACCTGCTCAGTATTCCCTACCATGCGGATTTTAATTTTTCTGCAGTATTTTTTTTTTCATCATCTGGAAACCCTTTTATATAATTTTTTTTCTTTTTTTTTTTTTTTTTGAGTCTCACTCTGTCTCCCAGGCTGGAGTGCAGTGATGCGATCTTGGCTCACTGCAACCTGTGCCTCCCAGGTTCAAGCGATTCTCCTGCCTCAGCCTCCCGTAGCTAGGGTTGCAGGCACCTGCCACCATGACGGGCTAATTTTTGTATTTTTAGTAGAGATGGGGTTTCACCATCTTGGCCAGGCTGGTCTTGAACTCCTGACCTCGTGATCTACCTGCCTTGGCCTCCCATAGTGCTAGGATTACAGGCGTGAGACACTGTGCCTGACCTATTTTGCGTGTGTGTGTGTGTGTAGTCTCACTCTGTCTCCCAAGCAACAGAATTGCAAGCACCTGCCACTACGCACAGCTAATTTTGTATTTTTAGTACAGACGGGGTTTTACCATGTTGGCCAGAGTGGTCTCAAACTCCTAACTTCAAGTGATCCCCCTGCCTTGACCTCCCAAAGTGCTGAGATTACAGGCATGAGCCACTGCGTCCGGACTTCCTTATCTTTTAAGGCGAGATCTGTCTACACAAAATACGTGTCAGTTGACCAAGAAATTGAATGGCCCTAATGCAGCAGCCTGTCAGCTCATCCAGTGGCTGTAACCCCTCCCAGGTCTACAACTGATGTGCAGGGTCCTTCCCCGTTCCCAGCACACCACCCACCTCATGACCCTACTCTGAGGCAATGGTTTTCTCTCATTTCCGCGGCCTGGTTTTCTGGTGCTCTAAACCAGTGCATGTGAAGAACTTTAGCAACCCGTGTTTGTGTTGCTGTTCTTTCTGTCTCCTCATGACTCCTCTCAATCCCATTCCCTGGTGCTGTTTTTGGGGGCAATGCTGGCAGGGCCCACACATCACAGAACCTACCATGCTCGCTCTGGTTCCTTCCTCCTTGCCTGCCTCATTGAGGCCTATCATGACCTGGGGCTTCCCAGATTGAGGAAAATGGCATGAGCTGGAAAAGCCGCTGAGAACCATGACAATGGCACTGTGCTCATCTCAAAGGGTAAGTGTAGGGCAGAAGGGAAGGTACTGCCCATGTTTGTTTCTCTTTTTTTTTTTTTTTTTTTTTAAGGAAACAGGATCTCACTCTGTCACCCGGGCTGGAGTATAGTGGCATGCTCCTGTCTCATTTCACCCTTGACCTCCTGGGATCAAGTGATCTTCCTGCCTCAGCCTCCTGAGTAGCTGGGACTACAGACATACACCACCATGTCTGGCTAATTTTTATATTTTTTGTAGAGAGAAGGGTTTCATGATGTTGCCCAGGCTGGTCTTGAACTCCTGGGCTCCAGGGATCTGCCTGCTTGGGCCTCCCAGAGTGCTGGGATTACAGGCATGAGCCCCCACACCCAGCCTTTCATTTTTCTAACCAGCAAAGGCCTTGGGTGTCTCAGTCAAGGTACAAGTGTAAAGGGAGTGCAGAGTTCCTTCTTACCCTCCAAAATGGTCAGGCTGTCTTTGACAAAATGACACTGACATACTCCCTGAGGACAGTGATCTCTATAGAGGGTTACAGCCCATTTCATCTGCATTTTAATTTGTATCCATTCTTCCTATTAAAGGAAAAAATTATTCTGATACTTATTAAAACAGTAAGGAAGACCTGTTTCAGGACTATGACAATAGTAGAGAAAGATCAAACTCAACTCCTCAGAGAACAAGTTGGGATTTATAGCCAAGGAGAAGGAGTAGGAGTTGGGGGTAGATGGAAAATTACTAAGAGGAGACATCAAGCATAGAGAATTCTTGCTGAGGGCAGGCCAGGGTGATCAGATAGCAGGGGCGAAAGAAGGGATTCTTATTAAAACTAGGCTAGGCACGGTGGCTCACACCTGTAATACCAGCACTTTGGGAAGCCAAGGCAGGCAGATCACGAGGTCAGGAGTTCAAGACCAGCCTGGCCAACATGGGGAAACCCTGTCTCTACTAAAAAA